AATATAAGATGATGCATAAAACAATCACGGCATGTTTGCTAGACTGTATTAAGGAGAAAAAAAAAATAGGAAGTTCAAATCGTGCCCATTCTTCTAGATGAGTGACAGATATTATGAAGTGCTTACTGTTTTAACTCTTTTCTGATTTTTTCTTGGAGCTCTAAGATTTGTATCTATACACTTAGATAGTTTGTCATCTCTATTGTTCAGTTTTGATGGGAGCCATCATGGTAGAGTTATCCACTGGAATGTCTAGGATTTTATCATCATCATAGCCTCTTCTACTGGTGCATGGCTTTTCAGTGTCTGTCTTCTTCCCCCAGAGTACACAATATAGCCCAAACACAATAAGAAGTGCTCCTATCAAGCTAGGCAAATTTAAATCAACAACAAAAGAATTAATAACTCATAATTTGAACAAAAGAATGCCAAGTATAAGACGGACACAAATTAAGGTAGAATTTTTGGCTATAGATGTTCAGTGTGAAGCCCTGCTTTGTCGCGGACCAGCCTTGGGATCGAAGAATTCATTGCACCTTCCAATCACCCCACAAGACCATGAACAAATATTGACATAGAGAAAACAGCTTTTCTTAATTAGGTTTTGATGCTAGATGCACTCACAAGTTGATTAGCAACAATCTCCCCTACGCCTAGATGTGTTAAAATATGACGGGCTGCCTAGGCTGGCCCAGAAATTTGAGTGAAGCCGTGCTGGGCTTGGCTTTAGAGGCTTGTATCTCACGTGAGCCACTTAAGAAAACGAAAAGGGAGAAAATTTTTGCCGAGAAAGTAGAAGCCCTAGATCCGACACATCCCCGGCCGTGCCAGGCCTAGATAAATCGAGCCTGACATGCCAAAAAAGGGTTGGCCAACCTAAAAACTGGTTGCGTCCCTCCAACCAAAAATAACTAGAGTTGTAGAGTGTCTCTTACCTTCCCAAATAAAGTCTCTCTGCAAAAGCAATTGCTTAAAAGATCCCCACAATAACAAGGATTAAGGGACTAAACATTGCTGCCAAGACTGGCCCCTTCTTACTGATACACCATGTTTGCAGCCAATATACTAATGCTAATATCACAACTCCCTGTTAGTAAGTAGGTTGCCTGTTAATAAAACGTTATAAACGAAAAAAATATAGCACGTGAGGGGGATGTGAGAAAAGAAATACACTTACACAATATACAATGGCCAAAAGCTGTACATTCCAATCTAGCTTCCATAGGTGTGGATTTCTTGCCCAAAACATGGCAAAGATTGATGATTGTAGAGAGGCAAAAATACAAATCAAAACATTTAATGAGAACAGCGCTTGTAAACCGTTGCCTGTGAGTTTTCAGTGATCGACAATCAGGAGATTGATTAGTGTAAACTTAACGAAAGAAGCTACATGTAACCACTTGGCAGTATTAAGAAACAAGAAGATGAAATCTTGTTTATAGTTATGTCCTATTCAGCATTGCATACAAATTTGCCCTTGTAGTATAAAGACGATGAAATTTCTGTACAACCATGTACCTGGAGAATGATCCATGCACTCAATGCTACCTCGCTAATTAGTATAAGGAGTGCACCCTTGACCCAATTTTCCTTATGATTCCCTGACTCACATGTAGAAACTTTTGTGCTATAATGTACTGAAGAAGAAAAAAAGCTAAAAAGAATAATTCATTGTATTGATTATACCTTCAGTGTCATAGAGCTGGATTAAGGGCTTCTGCTTAAAACTTGTGAATAAGCGTTTTCCTTTACAAAAGGTAAAAATAAATGATCCACCAATGCAAACCAGTGTTCCAAACAGCTTAGCTTTACCTCTGTTACTGTCGAGTTTCACTGTTTCCATTCTGAAACAGTATTAACATGTAACTAGAAGAAAATTATGACTCGTATATATGAAATCGGCAAATTTTGATCCTTATTCTCAATAATTTGAGTCCGGCTAAATAAATCTTTATTTAGTCACTCTGTCAAACTGGGCATGACGTTACTCAAGGCGCTTCCAACCGTTGGGGAAGTATATTCAAGACCAGTATGGTATAGATTCAGATGGACTGTCGTCCCCATGGATGAAAGCAAGATTATCTTCATTGCCATACGAAATGAGAGAGATGGTCGTGTTTTCCTGCCATACAGTTTTACATGCATCAAATCAGTAACTCATCATGTGTTGCAATTAACCGTGTGCGTGTGCTTTGCACTTGTGTATATATGTTGGCTAAGAGCTTGCCTTTCAAAAATATATGCAAAAGGGCTTAAAACAAGAATAGCTATTAAGTGGCGATAAACCACAAAAACAATCGGATTAAGTCCTTTCTGAAGGGCTAGTTTCATGAGAATATTTGATACACCATATGCAATTTGAACTACCACCATTGCTATATACGAGGCATTAAAGCTTTTCATGGCTGAACAAATTCTGTATTGAGAGTTGAGACTTACAGTAGTTCAAGGCTTTGATTATATACAGATTTATAACCTACTGTTTAGTTAGTGGAATTCCTTAACGTGGCGAGCTAGAGAAAACCACTTTCTGGATGTTTGGCTAAGCTCAATATATTCGCTTATAAGTTCACTTGTAAGTGGATTTATACTATTGTAGGTCAAACTTCAAAATATTTAACATTGTTTACACTCCTACCTTAGTATATGAATAAAAATTGTATTTATCTTGGGGTCCGTTTGATTGTAAATGTGGAAGATGGGTAGAAAGAAAATGTTTTACAGGGAATTGAATTGCCTAAAAATTGTTTTACTGGAAATTGTAATTAATTGTGTTTGATTGGTATAATTTTCCACCTGGAAAATATTGAAAGTATGATATCCGTTTGGCTTTTTCATGGAAAGTGTCCATTAAAGTGATAAATTTTTCTACCATTGGGTCTAGAATTTGTTTCAATTGCAAAAAAGTAAAAAAAAAAAATTAATTTTTTTAAAAATTTACCATACTAAATATTATNAAAAAAAAGTTGGAAAATGAAAAACCACCAAAACCAAAAGAAAATCATTTCCATGAATTCAAGGAAAAGAGGCGCGTGAAGGCCTCATGTGGAAAAGCAATTCCTAGAAAAAACTTAGGGTATCAAACACCACAATTTGGGGAAAATGGAAAACATTTTCCTTCTTCCATGGAATTCCTTGGCTATCAAACATAGCTTTAGTGTATTCAAAGTAATTATAAGCTTTGCCAAACATGTAAATTATTATTTTGAAAGTAATTGAAGTATACTTTTTACTTAACGTTTAGGAAAAAATACTTAAAAAGTAAATTTAAGCTTGGTAATCTTGCTATTTCCTCGTAGGTTCTCATTCAGATACCAATGATCAACAATTTCTTTAATATATGCTCTGCTTTTATGTATGATTCATTATTCTTTTATTCTGATTATTATTGAAATGCTATACTTTCATTCTTTGAATAATCTTTGGAAATGAGATAGAAATGGGTTCATGCAGTGGTTACACTAATATTTATTCAGCCGTCTGCATGAGAATGACGTAAAGAGAATGACCTATTTGCGAGTTAATTGTCTCGATGGTCACTGAACTTGTGTTTATGTCTTCGATTACCCACTAAAGTTTAAAATGTTGAGTTTTGGTCACAAAACTTATCAAAACGTTGAACGTTACTTGCTACCTTAACATCCGTTCCAAATATTTAATGGAATCAGTGACGGGACTAACGGAATGCATATGTGGCGCTCTGTCACGCCGTTAACAAATTGTCATGTCTTCTATTGCTCACTAAACTTTGAAAAAAGTATTCGATTGCCCACTAAACTGTGAAAACGTTTTCGATTTGGTTCAAGGAAATATTTTTGTAGAATTTTAAACTATTTTCATCATTTAAATAACAAAACACAATAATTTGAATTTTTCAAATGATGAAAATAGTTTGAAATTTTACAAATATATGTTAAAATCAAATTTAAATATTTTGTAATTGAATAATCATTTCTCGTGAAATCGACAACCCGAACTCGTTTGTCCACTTTATTTTACGTGACCCGTGCGATTATGGTAAATATTTTTTAACAAGCAATAGGTTGACGTCATTTTTATAAGTTTGGTGACCAAAATTTGATCACTTCAAAGTTCAGTGAGCAATCGAAGTCGTTTTTCAAAATTTAGTGAGCCGTCGAAACGTTTTTTAAAGTTAGTGAGCAATGGAAAACATGATAGTTTAGTAATGACGGCGTGACAGGGCGCTGCATGTGCATTCCATTAAATATTTGAAATGGATATTAAGATAGTGAATTAACGTCCAACGTTTTGATAAGTTCAGTGGTCGAAACTCGACATCTTAAATTTCAATGAGCAATTGAAAAAATAAACATAATATCAATGATCATTGAGACAATTAACTCCCTATTTGCAGATGAATTATTCCACTCGTACATAAGGAGTTATAGAATGTTTTATGTCAAAAAAAGAGTGAGGAATTTTTCTTTTATTATTATTTTGATACGATCATATCTCACAAAACCATTAGCAAATTATAGTGTTTCACAAGAAGTACACATTAATCTTTGTTATTAAAAAGCAATAATTTAACACATCATTGAATACAAAAGAGAGGAAGAATTAGAACATGAGAAATTTATGAGATTCAGTAAATGTTACTTGTAAGTTTCCAAACATCAAGCTTGTATGACCACTCGAATGGAACAAGGTTGACATGTTAGGTGCAAGACCTTGAGACTGACTTGTAAGCTTGTTTGGTACTGGTTCAATGTAGTTAAAGTATATTCATTAAGATGAAGATAATATATTCATTATAATAGTCCATAAAATATAAATTTGTTAAATTAGAAATGATCTTTTCCTTTGAAAAAATCGTCAATTAAATTGAATTTAATAATAAACTCACCAACCAACGATGGACTTTAAATGATATTTCAATTGGCTTATCGAGCTTTAATTTCTCTCAATTGTGTCACTGAACTTTAATTTAATATTAATTTTTTTGGGATATGTGTTCAAAAAAATAGACTTTATCGTAATTAGATATATATTTTCGATATTATTGACTAAAGGATAATTGAAGCAAAATCTCGCTCGCCTTTGTCTCTATTGTGGAATACTCCCATATCATTTCATATTGGCGAAAAATTCCCCTAAATGACTTTCTACGTGCGAAAGACCCCATATAATCTAAGTCTATTACAAGAGGTCCACTTAAAGATGGTCAAAATTAAAAAAAGAATAATTGCAGTTGTGATTCCATTTTTTTTGCAGATTATGCACAAACCTTTTATTTATATCACTCACACTCCCTCACCCTCAAAACTCCATCTTCTTCTCCCACCCCATCCTACCCCACAGGCCCACACCACCCTACCCTCAAAACTTCATCTTCTTTCCCAATCCCACTCCTACCTCCTCACCTCACCCTCAAACCAAAACCTAGAAATCAAATAATAAAAATTTAGCAAAAATTATGATGATAGATGAATGAATGAATGAATGTAAAGATCCTTGCCGACATAAGAATATCAAATAATTAAACTTCACTATTTTAGAGATGTAAAAGAGAGAATAGAAAACAATCATATTTGAAGATAAAGCTAAAAAGGGTGTAAAGCCATGAAGAGCAAACACAAGTATAAGAGCAAAAAATCACTTTATTTAAAGCAAAATCACCTTTTTTACAATAAAATTTTGGGAAAATTGTAGCGAAGGTACCAAACCTTTCACTTAGTTGCAAACTTTGCTCAAACATTTCATTTGTGCTTCCTGAGGTACCAAACCTTTAAAGAATCGCAGCTCCAATCCAGATTGACGGTTTCCGTCTATTTGACTACCAAAATCGTTAGTTGACACCAAAAATGAAAAAAAAATTAAAAATTTTCACCAAATAGATAAGGGCAATTCGGGCATTATATACTTTTCAAATAAAATTTCACCATGATGTAAGTATATGCTAAAATACTTCGTATTTTCTTCTTAAAAAAACGAAAAAAAAAAAAAAAAATCAAGCACTAACGCTTTTTAATTTCAGCAATGCACATGTACAGAACAAGCTATTTCACGATATATTAACTCTTCACGATATATTAACTCTGAAGTTATCAAATCACTCCACATTTGCACATTTTTCATGAAGACAATCTTTACGTACGGCTTGTAATAGCAACATTTCATATCATAAATTGAAATTCTAGGGAGCACACTTACCATAAATAGTTTGAGGGATGAGAGCCTCAAATATGGAATGTAAAATATAATGGAAGATTATCTTTTCCTTCGTATTTGTCATCTTTATCTTCGTGGATTTTAGCAGATTCCATAATAGATGATGAAATGAAGAGTAACTGATGTTTTTGTTTTTTTTAAAGGGAAAGTATGTAACACTCAATTTGTCATGTCTATTTGGTGAAAAATATTAGTTTTTTTTAATTTTTGGAGTCAACTAACGATTTTCGCAACCAAATAGACGGAAACTGTCAATCTGGATTGGAGTTACGATTTTTTTAAAGGTTTGACACTTCAAGTGGTGCAAATGAAAGGTTTAGACAAAGTTTGCAACTAAGTGAAAGATTTGGTACCTTGACTGCAATTTTCACTAAATTTTTTAACCTTCCATTTTTTGCATGCCATCTGTAGATATGCCGAAAATGTTTCATAAAGTTAAGCCCCCTACCTGGTGGAGCTTTTTGGCAAAATCTATTAGATTTTGATAGATTTGAGTGGAATTTTTTTTAATTAAAAAAATCTGACCTTGAATAAGAAAATTTGAGTGGGTTGTACGATACAGACATTTCTTTCAAAATGTCAGATTTATCCTAGAATTAATTTTTGATAGATTTGAGTGGATTTTTTTTTAATTAAAAAAATCTGACCTTGAATAAGAACATTTGAGTGGGTTGTACGATGCAGACATTTCTTACAAAATGCCAAATTTATCCTAGAATTAATCGTGCATAATTACTTTTTCACCCCTCTCCATTCATTGACAAGCAGTATTAGAAGGGCAAATTAGACTTTGTACTGTGTAGTCACTATTGTTGACTTTTAAATTTTTGAAGGTTGAATAGGTAACCATTTTTTACCGTCAAATAAACATCATAAGTTCCACATGATTAGACCAAAAAATCAATTTTTTTTGCTTAAAGTAGCGCAGCCAGACAGGAGCTAAATATTCCTAGCCAAAACTAAGCTGAGCCTGTGCTCTTTCTGAGCTGCTCGAGCCTATTTATAGCCCAAGTTACACACTGTAAAAGTAAGATTGTGATACCTAACAAGGGCACGTCGGCTCCCCGTCATGATGTGGTCATGTTCGTTCAACATTATTCAAAAAAGCATATACTGATAAGATAGAGTTGGTGCATTTGGTGAAATCAAAGAAGATAGTGATCATTACAATCAATTAAACACGTGTCTAACTTCATAAATCTTTGATTTGA